AATAACATCATTTCATAAGCAAATTCATGGTGAAAAACTAAAAAGAATAAAATTAGCCCAGCCCAATATTTAATTCTCCAGCCCAGAAGCAAATTCATGTGAAAAATTAAAAAGAATAAAATTTGACCCGCCCAAATATTAATTTTAGCTCGATTAACTTCATTTCCAACTCAAGTCTAAAACTGAAATGATACACAATTAACCAAATATTTAAACCCACTTAACCAAATATTAAATAAATTTTGCTTCTAGGCTAGGGTAGGGCTGGGCTATAGCCCACCCAGCCCATCCCTACCTCCGCCCCAGGGTGGAGTGCTAGTGACAGATTTTTGGGAGATCTTTTGATTTTGTAATGTAATCGGTGAAGTGCCAGTGTCTGAATTATGTTTAATCTCTATTCTGGGCTGGATTGTAATTCTGATATGAAACCTTCTAAGTCAGATATAGTTGTAAATGTGTATAAAATCTTTGGTTAATAAAATCTTCTGCTATTTTATTCTTTCCGCTGGTTTAACTTTCCTTATGTTAGATAACTTTGATGGGGTCTAATTAAAAATTATCTTTAATGTTGACACCAAACTGTGCATCCATTTGCTTAAACCAGTTTAGCTACTTGTTATAACAAAAGAACTATAACAAGCCATGGAATTCTGAACTTCTATCACAGGCACAAGAAGATATTCGATATAGATTTAGAGGCAGTTGAATCATACAAGTTAGGGAGAGGCACATCATCAAGTTCCACCCCAACTTCTCAATTTGGTGCATCACATTTATGCACCTCAACCAATCCAATTTTCAATAATCTCAACTTCTAATTTACACATAATATTTCCATCTACCAACACAGACACAAAAATGATACAAACCGAATTATAACATGATTCATTCATTCATTCAACAATACAGTGTTCATAAAGCCAATTAGGTACTGCTTCTTCATCGCTTTCATTTCTATTATTAGCCCCACCAATAATAACCATGTAACACATTTTGCTTCTTCCTTTTTGTGGACTGCAATTAGACATGGTGTTTGCTCATTCAGACCTTGTGAGCTCGACAATGAAGAATCACTAAGCATTTCCCAAAAGCCGGCATACAAATGGATCGAGCCATACTATTCGAAGGATAAGCATAGCTCAACTTTAGAGCAATGTCATCACCATAACCAATGGATAAACCGTGAGGCACCAAAACTCCAGTCATAAGTGGCAAAAAATTCCATACTCTGGACTTCCCACACTAGAATAAGGACCTGAATTTCTCAACCGCAAAAAATTCTTCTTCATCAATGAAAATGAAATTACTACTGCTACATCAGTAAAAATGAAAATGAAATTGCTCATCAGAATATAGTGAGCAGAGGCTCACTGGAAGATAACCCCCAATTAAAAATGAAAAGGAAATTGCTCGATGTTCATCCATTACGTGCTTCTCCCCCATTTTCTCTAGGAAAGCCGGGGCTTGTAGAGCAGAGACAAAATCAAGCTCCATAACAGAATCAATGACAACCATTATTTGTTAATATGCCCATTATAGTATAAAAAAAATTCAAGCTGGGCGATGTTGTCTTTCTTCGTGGTGGGCGATGACGATGGCGGCTTCCTTCGTGGTGGTGGAGATGATGCAACCGTCGGGCAATGGCGGCTTCGTGGTGGTGAAGATGATGCAATGGCGGCTTCCATCGGGGTATTTCCTTCGTGGTGGTGGAGAGATGGGCAATGGCGCCGGGAACGATTTGGGGTTTGGGAATGAAAGGTTTGAATTGGGGGTAATTGATTTGGGGGTTAAATGGGGAGGAAGCGTGATTTGAAAAGGTCAGGGGTGTGTGTTATAAATTTTGCAACAATTCAAAATTTTGAGTCAAAATCTCGCTGCGTCAGCATTATGGATCCCCTGATGTTTAATCTAATGTATCGGTAGAAATTTTCCAGTGAAAAAAAATTCTTTAAGTTTTTTAATCTGACTTGTAATTTGCGTCAGCGTTATATGTATAAGAAATTTTCCATGTGCAAATGAAAAAAAAAATCTTTAAATTTTTTATTTTTATTTTTGTCGAAGTATCACTTTTTTACTTGAGAACCGATCAAAGATTACAAAAGGTGTGAATCTAATTCCACCTACAATTTGAAAAAATCAAGCAATTAGTAAATGGATTGACAATTAAAGGAAATCAATTTAAGAAATCAAAATTCAAGAACAATTAGAAGAACTGTAAAATTTCCCTTCTAGGCTCAGAATCCACCACCACAA